AGTACATATTTGTAAGCATGTCGGGTTCGAATGCAGGGCCGCCGGATTCGAACCCGGGACCTTCACCTTGCAGTGATGAACGTCGTGTCAACGCCTAAACCGTTGCGGCCACCGACGCCCCTCTATATATTAATATGTCAATAATGATTTGCAATAAAATTTTAATAAATTTTAAAACTTATAATTCGGTGGTTACGGATCATTTGAGCCCTCTGGGTTGGTCAGGACGCGATAACGCACAGACCTACGAAAATTCGAAGACCACATCGTATATGACCTACACAAAAATGATTTGTTCCGGCCAAATTTTTAATTAAAAACTTTATAGTATTGGACTCAATAAATATTTACCATTGTTTATGTTATTATGCTCAGCGGGTGAACCTACCTTTAATTTATTTTACAAAAATTAATTCATTAAATATGTAGGATGTTGTTGGACTGAAAGAGTCATATTTTTGAGTAATTAAGAGACTTTTGAATATACAAAAAATACATAAAAATAATGTATTTTTAATATACAAATAAAATGTTAGATCTTGTGACAAATTTCTGGAAATTCGGGTTAGGAATGATACAGATTTTAAATGTAACAGCTCGAAATTATATATATCTTCAAAAAGCTTTTTACATTTCGAAAAATATTATTGTTATGAAGTCATTAATTTTCTAAATAACAACTTTCAATTAATTGATGTTTATGAAAGGTATTGGTCGAGATAAAAATACGGAGATAAAAAAGCGGGGTTCGAATCCCGCTCGTGACACTGAGTTTTTTATCTCGACTAATACCATTCATAAATATTAATTTATTTTTACACTTATTGTTCTATTGAGTTCAAATGTTTCCGTGAATTTGTTAACATCTCCTCCCAGTCATACAATCTTGTTTTCTTTCCGAAGTTAGTTTCATTTCATGATTCAGTTAAGTTCAAATTTTTTAATATTAACATGGTTCCGGCCTTTCAACGATTGGCATAAAAAAAGAGATGTTTCATTATTACGAAAAGTTTGGGCAGTGCAAGAATATTAGCTGATAAATTAAAGCTTAAGAAAACGCTAGGAAGAAAAATTTTCAAAAAATCTACACCTTGCATGAAGATCTTTTTTTTACGAGGGTTCGCAACAGCAGAGGTTATATCAACCCGCGGGGTGCCTGTGTTTTAAAAAAAAGCCCATTTGTATGTCGGGTTCGAATGCAGGGCCGCTGGATTCGAACCCGGGACCTTTACCTTGCAGTGATGAGCGCCGTGTCAACGCCTAAACCGTTGCGGCCACCGACGCCCCGAATAATTGTTACACATAATATAGACAATTAATTATCATTTTAAAAAATATGTTCGTATCGAACCTCTCCCGTAAGGGGACAAAAGTAGTGACACTATGAGCGTACGAACAAGAGGTTTTATTGTAATAGTTTCTAATACCATTATCTATAAATGGACATTATTAAGTACTTAAACGTTTTGTTAAATGTTTCTTATTATATTTTTTCTGTAAATTTTTGTAATAAAATTTAAGTGAAAAAACTAAAGAATCATTTTGAAAAGACAGTTTAAGTATTGTCCCCCCTACGTTGTATTGAGAAACGGTTTTTTTCTTTGTCCACTCTTCCTCTTCATCGTGATCTCACCGAATTCCTCTCACTCACTGCTCGCAAACGCCCCAAGTTGCCCAGCTACTCAGTCTCACTTCCTTATAGTCCTTAACGCCGAGCCAAGTGGCCTCACTTTCTTATCTATCCTAAGTAATAATGAGTGAGAAGTGAAAGGAGGATTTTACCATAGTCATTGTATTTACTTGTTCCGGTTTATTTTGCAGTTGTAAATGTCCAAAAAAAGAAAAGAAGAAGATGCAGAGTCGTTGAACGCCTTCTTTAATACATATTTTTTACACTTTTCTATAGCTTTGAACATTGAGAACTGATCGTAAAGACAATTTGTCAAATTATTAGAAAGCGTTCTATTTCAAATTTATAGATGGAGATTTGACGGAAGAAAACACCATAAAGAAATTTACAGAATCGTATTGCCTTTACAGATCGTTTTGTTAGAGAGAAAATGAGAAAGCTACTCGCCAATAAACAACAAGCGTTTCTGGTATTTTTAGTAAAACCGACCGTGATTTTCACAATGAACACTGTTTTTAATGCTTAAGCTGATTTTTCGAATAGCACGTTTTTCAATCGATTTTCCTGAATTTATTTGTTCTATTTCACGATCAGGGGGAAGATAATTAAACTGATTGCCTTTCTATGATAAAACCCGTTGTTCCTTCTTCTGGGATCTTCGACAGGTCGAGACTCTTTTTTTAAAATCCTTTTTAGCTCATTTCCAAGGGGAAAATTAACAATTTATAAATTATTATGTAATCCTCATCGATCGAAGGGGGAACCCTTCGGAGTAGAAATGCTAACTTTTTTCCAAATAAAATGACAGCGTATTACCTAATGGAAACGTTTTCAAATTATCCCTCCCTTAAATAGCCACACTGATGGCGAATAATTTATTACCAACGAAACCAACCAACTAATAGAAAGTACAATCTGACTTACCGGAAGAAACGTTCGAATCTGTGATTTGTTTATACTGTTTTAATATTTCAAAAAATATTCCCTTTTTACCCCCTTACAAACTAATGTTTATTTATTATAATATGAATTCCATTCCATTAGCCAGAATTTATGCCAAATTAACAATGAATAAACGATAATTTTCACAACACTTTTAAGCATTCTATAAAAAATAAATATATTTTTAAATAGTAACAATAATAATAAAATATTTAGCCACGGCCGAGAACTATGCGATCTGGCACGCCCTTGGAGTTGTGCATTCACCCCCATGGCCGCTGACTCCCTGAATGTGTTGCAGGCTCAAAAGAAGAGATTCTCAGTGGATCTTCCCGTCTCGAAAAAACGGTAGCAGTTGCCTGGGTACCTGGACGAACATGCCTCTAGACCTTATTGCAATTCGACCCAATAATGGTAAACGTGCAGAATAAGGTAAAAGTTGGCACCGTCAGTGGATTGGGTCATCCGAGACATTGCTTTCGCGTATACTCGGCCGTCCTTAAAAGGATAATGAGAATCTTTAACGTCTGCACCTAGCCTTCCGGCCTTATCGGACGTTTAGATTCTCAAGATATCTAACGCACCTCCGCATACGACAGAAGTGGGTTACCGCCGCAGCATTGGTGTAGAGGCAGCTCAGCCCCGAAGGCCCAAGACAACTCGCTCCCTGCTTGCCCATTCCGAGTGGTCGGGTCCGCATTAAGCATCGAACCGTAGGCCGTGCGCAATGGGCTACCTAGACTGAAATCAGCCTGGCCTCCCGCGCACTCCCTAGATAGAGAAGGCCACTCTAGCTCCCAGAGTACTGAGGCTTCCCCAGCGTAGATACTTCCTGATCCGCTCCGGCAGCGGTTTCGTTTAAAGTGGAATTGCTAACCACCACCTAGAGGAGACTTCCTACGGTAAAAGCCGCCAATCGAGCACATTATGTACACCTGCGCGCATAGCGCACTCGAATAGGAGCAACCGATTCACTACCCATTTCCATCCGCCACTACTCACGCATTCGCGGGACTCCCGTAAGCGTAGTTTGACCGTCCTCAACGCTATATCCCGTGAGGCCGGGTGAATAACGATGGTCATACGCAAGTTTCGTCCGAAGGTTACAGCCTCTTCTCCAGGTACCCGCCAGGGGTGTCGACACAGCCAACTACGAGATCATTCCCTAGGGCAGGGGCTGAACCTTGGAACATTTCTGTTACCCCGTAGTACAGATGGTTATGCACCCTCCACCGTTTAAGCAGACAGGTACCCTAACCCACGTCTGACGCATTATCATGTCACGTAATTATTTTGCGCCCGGACAACCCCCTTGTAACCACAGGTTGAGAGAGGCCGCAGGGAAGAATGAAGGAGCTTGGATTGAGAAAGGGACGTGGATGAGGACACGAGGTACACCTTTCTTGGGCCCCGAGCCTTAACTACATTGTACCACCCGTCGTCGTCGTAGTTTCACATTAAGTGGGCTATAACTTCCTTGGTGGAGGTCATCTGAGACAACAATCAATAGGTGTCCCCGAGAGAGAAAACAGCAGAAGGTTCATCCTAGTCTGACTCAGATAGTGACCTTACACGGTTGACACGCTGACAATTATTTTTGGGCCAAAGTACGCGTATGAGTCCGACAGAGAAAGGTTGATTAATATGACCCACTTAATTGTAGATTATCACTCTTTCATTCTATGTAGAGAGCGAGTACAAAGGCCATTCGACATAAGAATTGTGCTCGTGCTTGGAGTCCCCTATTCTGATTTTTCGAGGAAACCAAGGGATTTCTGTAGTAATAATGATAATCATATTATTGAATATATAAAAAGTTTGGTGATAAATGTATTCCGTGTTGCGTGTTTCTTGAGAATACATTTATAAGCGTGAAGGTCTGTAGGGTGAGAGGGCGATGGGCATAGTTTATAGTTTATGTAAATGGTAATGGCGGAATATTCCATCACCCTACTTGAGTGAATAGTATGTAGATAAGACATAATGTATGCATTTAGGAAGAGTGAGAGGGTGACTGGGTTTTAGTTATCAACATAATTTCTTATGTTCAGCATCAAATCTTTCGGATACATACCTATGTAAAGAGGTAGAGGATTTTCATCGGCATGATTTTCAATGATGATGAACGTGGAGTCAAAAGCAGTATTTTTTAACTACGTTTTCAATACAGAACTTGATTAATTATTCCATCATGATAAAGCCCAAGGTGCTTGATAGTAGTAGACAACACACCACAGTTTTTCCTTGCCACTTTATTCACTTCGTACATTCCAGGAAAGCATCAGTATCAATCTAGTCTGTACATTTTAGCTTCTTAGTGTTACATATTGAAGGAAATTTGAATGTTTGTTTGAGTAGTTAAGAGATTTAAATGTTATTGATCATTCTGTCAATAACATTTTTCTGAATGGAATTTTTATTGTTTCAGCTTCTGCATCTCTGCTGGGTCTTTGTCCTGATCGCCGGTCTGGAAGGATCACCTCCATGCTCGCAGTACGGCTGTCAACAGCAACCGGCATTTAAACCATATTTCCCGCCGCGTCAGCCGAACTATGTTCCAGCACCACCTGGCATGACACCGCCTTGCGCCAAAAGTGGCAAAACCTATTGCGTCGACGTCGACGAATATCCACAGTGAGTACTTGTCTAGTAAGAGTCAAACTGTGTCACGTCTCAGATTTAGTCAATTTGGATAAGTTTAAACTAGCATTAAGGCATGTGCTGTACGTAGTCTGTCGTCATTGCAGCCTCTAAGGTTTCGGAATCAATTTTTCAGCTTCCTTCCAGACCATTTTAGCCTGTGCTGGATGCCAATAGTAGGTCGCGTTTTACAAGTACTCAATAACTTAAAGTAAGATGCGAAGGTGTACTTAATATACCGTATGGAACTTTTTACATCATAAATTCATACTAATGTTTCTATGTAGATTAGATCTTGGCCTCTAGTCATGATTTTTCTTCAATAAACGAAACAGTTGACCTAGGAGAACCGGATAGCACATTTATTTGCTTAATGGTCATACGGCAATCCGTTTTGTGAAAATATAGCGACCATCCTCTACCAGGACAGTTACGCGAGCATGCCCTTACTCGTATGGGTTATTCTAAGTTCCGGAAAAAGTACTTCCCCGAGATTCTGGAAAAATACAATACCCCACACATAATCATAAACATGACGTACTGACCTTGATAAACATCAAGAGAGCAAAAATATTGAAAACGTACTGACACACCCGATCTTCTAAAAACATGCAACATTTATTGTTGAAACCGAACACATCACGTAAACATTCTTTAAGTAATTACAACATAAAAACTGACAATAAAATTCAGTTCGACATGTACAGAAAACCACCAGGCATTATCATAAAATTGGCCCAAACTACAAAGATACAAAATGCAGCGTTCAAAAGCATATGATAGGCAAAGTAGAATTAGAACAGGCTATTATTGAGAAATACTAACAATAAAAAGCATACCACATAGCACACAACACTGGCCACAACATAAAATCTATGAATAAACTAGTGTTCAACGAGAAAAAAAAGCTACATACATACGTAAAAAGTCGTACAACTTAACCAATACATGTGTGGTGATTAGTGACCGTTAGTGGATAATTATTTAGAAATCGTGAGATGCTGTCTGGTGTAATGTAGGTTTCAGAAAAACATTTTCTTTATCGTGCGAACGTTTCGATCTTTATTGAGATCATCTTCAGGGCCTGGGATTTACACACATTGTTTAAATTTAACAAATGCATGTAGGATGTGGAAAAAAGTGAATTTTTACAATGCAAAAAAAATATATTTTATATTCAATCAAGTTCAATATGCAGAAAACACTTTGAGTGAGTAGAAATACTTTGATCCATACTCTCAAACTCAGCGCACATGAGTTGATGGTTTGGTTGAAACTGAAGGGTTCACTACATATTTTTGGACAATCAATTAACGCATATGTTCTTAGCTCAAACAAGCTGGGCGTGCCTAAGTGCCCTAGGAGAAAGAACAGTTTATCCTGAACTGGACATGAAGATACTGAAGTAAAGAACAGGCTGACCATTTAACCAAATGTGGGGCAGTTCTCTCAGTCTCGAAGCTGGATCAACAACTAGATTGATGCAGGGTGCTCTAAAGATGGAGCTGAAAAAAAGGCTTGAGAAAGAAAACCTCGAACACTGGAGCACCAGGTATACGGGCAAAAATATCTCAAAAAGGAAGGGGAAGGCGTCTGTCTCTATCCCCCTCTCCCACTTCCACTGCCATCTTGATTACCACCTTAAGACGGTCAAAGCAGAGACATAAACATGCCGACTCAGTTAGGAGAAACTAAAGACATCTGCATGTGCACGTGATGCGGCTCGCAGTCAGTTAATTCTCACACCAAGAGAAGTGCGCAAAGCGACACAGAGGAAAGTGTTTAGCCTGGGGAAAAACGCACATTCCAGAACCATGGGTTGTTTTTCATGAAAAATGGACATATTTGACATATAAATGTTTAAACATATCACGAAGGACTTCATTAATACACTGCAACATCGGTATATTCATATGACATATCGTTTACTTCATTCGAAACACCTTGAACCTGCACAGGGTTACATAGGTATAGTTAGTGGTTACTATACTCGCGGGTGTTTGAAGTTAGTCCCACGTCCAAGTCTGGTAACAGGTGTTCCTCACTGAATGTGTATTTGTCAAAGCAGAAACGCATTTGAGAAATTTCAAAAAACTACGAGTGTTGGCGTACCTAATCAGTAACCCATTTCGGTTCAACATGTATCCACTGGCAGACCAGTACCAAGCATCACCTTGAAACACTACGCAACATAAAACGATGGGACAAAACCACCCAGATTTAAACATTAATTTGTGAAGTGTAGTATGTAGTGCTTAATCAAATATCGCACAGGCCAGCTCTGAAGATGGCGAGAAGCATAAACCCTCTGACACTGATCGTTAAACACGTTTAGTTAAATAGTGCGCGCATAATTTTAAAGAATGTTTCTTTGGAAGGCCTACAGGAGCAATATATATTTTGAGAGCCCTATCCAAAAACAAAAAGCCGGCCGCAGGATTGCAAAAGTGAAAAAAAAGAGAGAAGGAACGTCCTTTAAACCTAAAATTCAATAGAAACGGAAAGTCCTTCCATTCGTGTTTGAAATTAAAATGGGACGAATTTACATGCCGGTTCATAAAGTGCCGAAAAATTATTCCCACTAATTAAAGCCATTGTATTTCGGAACGTTAAAGTTTTCTCTGTCGTACGACAAAGAATACGGATTTCGTTAAGGATATAACACGCGATCGAGATTTATGACAGGATTTAAAACAGCAAACGAGCCATTTGAGTGTGACACTGATGAAAGACCGTGCAGATGAAAGGCCGTGGAACTTCCTGGGCAGATGCTGCCGGCAGCTGTCATTTCTTTGATGCTACTACTAAACATTACAATTCAACGGTGAAACATGAAACAATTGTTTATAAACATCCCTGATGATCGCGATTAAACCAACCGTCACACATACTTCGTTCCTTTTTGACTCACAAAACATACATCGAACAAACATCCATAAAACATAAGTTTAAAACGCCACCTCCATTTATCTAGAGCCGTTGAACTTTCCAAATTAAAACATTCTTTGTCAAAATACAATTAATCAGTAACTGTCATAAAAAACCTGTTCTTTCCTCCAAATTATCAAATTGTATTATAATTATAATATATTTACGTGTTAAACTTCAACCAAACGCCGTTAATTTATTATCTAATCTATTCTGATGCACTGTAAATTTAACTTGAACTGAATTGTAGAAGAATATGAAGACTCATTGCCGTCAAAATTTACAAAAGAAATTAAAATAATTTTTATTATATCCCTTTGATGGTAAATTACAAAAAATGTGGCCTTAATTGAGAATTACTATATTTTTGTGGACATTTATGCTAAGAATCGTCACCTCATACCGACTAGAGCAAGAACATTTATTAATAAATAAAATTTGAAAAACCCGGACATTCGTATTTTACTAGCCCTAAGAGGACCAGAGCCGGAGACGAGGGATCGTCCTCACCTGATTGAGGATTGGCCATACTCGGTTGACACACGGACACCTGCTTTTGGGCCAAACCCGCGCAGGGGCCCATTATGCAAAGAAAGGTTGCTCGATGTGTCTCACATAATAGAGGCGTGTCATGCTTTGGCTCCATATAGAGAGCGAGTAGGCATGCAGCCGGATTTAAGAGCGTTTCTCTAGCACAGCAGTTTCTGGTCCCCTGTTCCGCTTTGAAGACGATGTATTTAGGAGAGTGAGTGGTGAGGGTGATGGTGAAATATAACGAAGCCATCGCCCCACCTGCATCTGTGTGTTTAGGGTTCGATGGAGGAATATTTATAAACCATATCAACCCTAATTTAGGTTAGATTATTAGTATGTGTGTAGTATGGAAGAATAAATATTCAGACTTCACCGACTAATCAGAATGACTGCAATGCATGAAGGTGTTTATATGTATGAAAGTATTTATTTGTGCGACTGACTTAACTAATTTAATTAGTAGATTAGCGGCTAGATTATAGTTTGCATGGGTCTGGGGCTGAAATGACCAAGCTGTTTGCCCCCGACGGCGCCTAACCTGTCGGTAGGGAAACGACGATCTCCTGGGGATCTGGCTTAAGGGGGATACTAACGACCCAGCCACAAAACGAGGTGGGTCAACTCTCTGATGTACTGATACTAGGGTCACCACATCGGGAGTGACACCCTTCTGGGTAAAAGCCCGAATTTGAACCAATATGTGTGAGTTTTTATCGTTTAGCGGTGTAAAACCATGGTTCAGGGCCTATGTATGATCTTGCAGACCCTTCTTTTACAAGTTTGTCTGCTTTTTCATTAACGAAGATTCTTTTGCCTCCTGGCTCCAAAGATATCATCAGGTTGTTTCACTTACCCAGGGCTTGAAGATTTTGGATGCATTCACTCACTGTTTTAGATGTATTCTTTTTACATGCTAATGCTCTAGCAGGTTCTTGGCTATCTAACATTGAGATGACCCTAACGAGTTGGATTGCTCATATTTTGTGCTTGTACAGAAAATACCTGGTCAGTTTCTTTCACTGGTTTTGAAACTATCTGAACCATATTATTGTACCTGATTTCCTCCTGATTTTTTCTTTCAGTTTGTAATCTATTGAACTTTATTGTATGTTATAAAGAACACATCGATGAGTCAGTCCCCATCTCTAGGAATGGGTGTCCGATTTTATTTTATTATTGTTGTATGCCCAAAATGTTTGGTAATTAATACAATTCATTTGTTTAGGAGTCTGAATTCTCTGAAGAGCTTTTTCTAGCTTGTATTTTGTAAATATTTCCAGTGGTGATTAGCAGGTAACGTTTAGCAGTTTTTTCAGTTTTGTGAGGGAGCTTTTACCAATGCTATTAGATGATGTTCCTCTGCAACAATGACGAAAAATGATTCTCCAGCTTGATGGATGTCTTGCAGACAATTCTTTGCAGGTGAGACGTTATTTGAAACCTCTCTTTCTCCTGGACGGATAGAACCCCATGACCCGATAAGTTGGCTTCCTTGGTCACCCGATTAAACTCAACTTGACTTTTTTCTATGGGGCCGTTTAAAGACAGTGTCTACACCAATCAAAACCCAACAACCTCAGTTGAAGAACTGCGGCAAAAGATAGAAAATGCTTGTCAATCCATCTCCCCTGACTCTATCGCTCTGAGCACCGGTGAAAAGTGGTTAAAAAGAGCAAATCTTCGCTTCTTTCCGCGAGGCAGCAGTTCTCGAACATGAAAACTGACTAATAAATAGCAAATCAAATAATCTTTTTTTTGTCAAACTTTTTGCCATAACTTTTCATTTTTGACCAATTTAAAATCTGATTGCACCATTGTTTTCAGCGTAAAACATAAAATGACGCGTACGTATGCATAGGGTCGTATTTAAAATTTTGAATTTGAACTGGGCCTGAGGTACCCTGTATAATTTTTCTCCAAAAAACGTAAACATTTGAAACTAGACTAAAACACGTTTTTTTTTTATATAGCGACATTGGTGCAAGAGAAATTCAGCCGGGCCATCTAAAAAGGACTCCCTGCATAGCATTTTTAGGCCTTTTTCGGTTTTAATCCCAGTTTTACATTCTGAAATCAAGTTATATCATTGAGATCAAATTGAGCCTGGCTGTAATGGATACATTTCTGAGGGCACCTGGATCTACTGTAGAAACTCAAGAAGCTTACCTTATCCTTCCTTTAGACCGTACTGTGACCTTTAAGGTAATGAAATGTACACTATCATTATCTATCGGGTGAAGGCGTCTGTGCAGTTGCATGGATGATATTCGTAATTAATGAACACGTTAAATAATCGTAACTGGGCCACGGGATGTAAGCCGAAACGCAGCTAACCGGAAATAGTAATGACCCAGAAAAAAGGGTCCATCCGCTCCATCTAATTTTTAGAGTTTAGAGCTAATATAAAGAATAAATCAAGCAAGTTTTGATATATTTTACGGTGGCATTACACCAACTGCTGAAGATGGTGAAAAACAGCGATGATGGACCAAGATGATCAGAAATCATCACATTCTCAACTTAAATCTTCGCCTATCGAAATAAATCGTTCGTTTGTTGTTTTGGGTTTGTTCTTGTTCTCGGGTTGTCGCGTTGACGACGAACAACGGCGTAAACGGTTTTGAAAGTCGGCCATGCCATTGTTCCAGCGGAGAAGCGCCCATGCACGAGCCCATCTCATGATTATTATTATTATTATTAGCCATGCCATTGTTCCAGCGGAGAAGCGCCCATGCACGAGCCCATCTCATCTGTTTACAATCGCTCTGAACGTTCTCGCCCTTTTGGCCGGCGTTAGTATTTTTAAATCGTCGCAGACTTTCTCTAATTAATTCAAAGTTCACATTACACCGCATTGTATCCATGGGCGTGATTGTGAGGAATTTCCGGAGGGAAACACGAACTTGCTTTTAAATCTCGTAATTCAGCCTATAAGAAACGGAAATCTACCAGGATTGGACCTATCTAGGTTTAAAATTACAAGAAATAAAGGAGAAATCTAGTCCGTAAATCACTGAAAATGACTTCATACTGCTCAACATAACCTACCACCTAAGTCACTATGGAACATTAGAAAACTTGGTCTTAAAAAGAAACAAGATTGTTCTATTCAATTAATTAAGGTTTTTAGTTGAGATAAAATAGTGTCACGAGCGGGATTCGAACTCACGATCTTCGGCTATCGTGACCTCGATCCACTCGGACACTAACTTCCCATCTCAACCCCACCTTTTGAATTTCCCTCCTTTTTGCCATTTTTTTCACTGACTTTTTTTATCTCAACTAAAAACCTTAATTAATTGAAAGCTATTAATTGGTCAAGCGGATCACAAAAACTAGTGAACTGTTCTCATTCGTACCTTGATGATAATGAATAAAACATTCTTTTCTTCCATAACCTCTTCTCTTCAAACTAAAACTCCATTTCCTTCTCGTCCATACCGCCGAAAATTTTTCTTTCATTTTTCAAATATTACTCATGGAAATGTTTTAGCCATACTTTCCATTAAATCTAATGCTCGATCTTATTCTTATTACTCATTTTTTTTCCTTCCTTCTGTTTTAAAAAGCGCATTTTAAACTTCTCTCTCATCCTGTTTTCCTTCAGCCTGGAAGGAAGCCCTAAAACAGTTGCTTTATCCAAAGAAACCTGAACCCAACTTGTGACTACCTCCCTATTACTACTGTTCTATCATTATCTAAAGCATTTGAGAAGATTTTATTTAAACAAATCCTTATTTATCGACTATATTTTCAGTAGTTCCTATAAAATCAGTTAAATTTTAATGTCAACAATGGTCCAATGGCAACTAGCACACATTAAATGAAGGAACAATTATACTGCTTCTTCTGTATACATGAATCTAATCATAGTGACAAATGCGAAAGTTAAAAAATATATTTTACCTTTTGGCTAAATCTGAGACAATTTAAATTTCCACATTGATTTTACAAGACTGAAATTTTCCATTAACATAGATGAATTATTGGTGTAATTATTTATTAATTTATAAACTTTTGATTTCAGACAGCTGATAACAACGTTGGTCTCAGGCTGGCAGTACAACTATAACACATTGCTCGCCAATGAAATGGTAGAGGGTGCCCCACCAAGGTATTACTATACTCCATGATCACTTTAACCGCATCAATTTATTTATTATGTTTATTATATATATTTTTTTTTTATAAAAATGACAAAAGAGAAAATATAACGCTTTTCATGCAAAATATTGAGATTTCTGTGAGTCAATAAATCCCCCTCAACACTCTTTTATAACAAGCTGGTCCATAGTGGATCTCAGTAAGTGGCGGCAGCTTGAAATATTTTCATCTTCTACTTTAAAAAAACAATCAAAATAAATTATTATAAAACTACGATTCACTTAAAAGTGAAATAACATTGGTAAGTTACTTTACATTAGCAATGAAAGTCCGTATATAAAAGAAAAACTCTGCTTCTTCATTGTTTTATTTATTTATTAAATTCTATTATTCTATTTGGATAGATTATTCATTGAGAAATAATCTTGCTGTTACAGAGACACTTATGGCCTACCACCAAACAAAGAGAAAGAATATCCTTATCCAGGACCATCTGAGCGGACATTGCCACCTTCTCATCAATATATCATCTTCAATGCTGTATGTCGACAAATGTTGAATCATGAAAGAATGAAATGTTAATCTTTTTAAATTAATTAATCTATTTTATTTTATTTTTAGACGACTCATGGATATCCAGACAGGAGGTACCGACTCGAAATCCCGAATGTACATATAACCAGCAACGACCCCGGGTTCATCTACTCGGCCATCATCAGGCCTGACTTAGTCCCACCGGTCACTCACTACGATTCGGGCAGCTGGTGGAAGAGGTACAGATTCAAAAATGCAGAACCGTCCTCATCTTACGATATGACCAATGTTGCAGGTTTATGAAACAGAATCGGCAGACCAGGCAGGCCAAGGAGACGTTAACCCTCTGCCCAACAAAAACTCACTTCATCATGCCGAAAGCTGCGATTAACAACCAGGGCAACTGGAAATATGTCGTGAACTTGGACCAAGATAGGAGGTTTACCCAACTCGTTGGAAGTGAAACATGCGCGTATGTTTTTTTACATTTTTATTCCCTGAAACATTATGTTAAATAACCGTACCACTGTGTATATTAACTACATTCATCTCTTCATACTTATATTTTATTTTTTACAGCACATTTTATTTTCTCCTCCTTACATTTATAAAACATTGAGATTAACTATCAATATTTCAATACTTAGAATATGGAGAAATTGATTAGAGAAGGAAATTTTAGTTTGGTCATGACTGATTCTTGCTTGCTATGTATATAAGTTCTAATGGGTTCTTACACCATTGATGATAGTGAAATGCTGATACATCTGGTACTAGAAAATTAATTATCAGCATTCTTTAATTCATTTAAGCCCATTGATAAGCAGTAAGGAACCAGTGTAGAACACTCAGCGTCCAAGTGGTACATGTCCAAGCATACAGTTTTGCTGATGGAGAGGGTCGTAGGGCTTATGACGATGGTTCAGCAATTCTTTTAACTTTATAATCTAATGTATATCCAAAAGACTTGTACTATCCTCAATTTTTAAATCAGTATTGAGATGGTTAAATCTCTTATAGATGGTATATGGTGAGAGGCCTGTACCCTTTCCCTACAAATTTTATCCTCAGTTGACCAGAGGGTGTAACTTTAATATGTTAAAAAAAACTAGCCTACTCCCGACTCTCGGCCAGTTAAGTTTAATATTAATACATTGCCATTACAGCTCAGTAAATCTAAAAAAAAAAAAAAAATTTATTTATTTTTTTAATTTTACAAAAACAAAGAAATAAAGGAATATTTTGCAATTCCACCAACATTACTCTTGAGCATTATCTATCAAATTGATACTTTTTATTGACACAAAAGAAATTTTAAGATTCATATAATTTGAATCTAGATAAAACTAACCCTAATTATTCATCTCTACTTACCAAACCTAGCCTAACACTACCCTAGTTGTAACTCTAACCCCAATTCTAACATATCCCTATTTAAACTGCTTAACACTACCTGACTGTAACCATAACCTAACCTAACACGCCCCTAACACCCCTCAAAATAAAAAAAAAGAACCTTTAAACTGCACCCTCATAAATGGGTAAAGGGGCAAAATTACACATTAACTAAACCCCTTGGACAATCAGGCAGCTTTTAAAAGACAAATCTTATATAAACACTAAGCCTTCTAAGTCTTGGAGTGCCTAAATAGTCCTATCCTACATAACCCTAACAGTAACTCAGAATGTTAACTCGTATCTAATTGTACCTAACCTAACACTACCCTAGTTGTAGCTCTAACCCCAATTCTAACACATCCCTATTTAAACTAGCTTAACACTACCTGACTGTAACCATAACCTAACCTAACACGCCCCTAACACCCCTCAAAATCAAAGAATAACCGTTAACCTGCACATTACTTTTGAGCAAAAGCTACCAAATTGATACTTTTTATTGACATAAACGAAATTTTAAGATTCATATAATTTGAATCTAGATAAAACTAACCCTAATAATTAATCTCTAACTTACCGAACCTAACCTAACACTACCTAGCTGTAGCTCTAACCCCAATTCTAACACATCCCTATTTAAACTAGTTTAACACTACCTGACTGTAACTATAACCTAACCTAACACGCCCCTAACACCCCTCAAAATCATAGAAGAACCTTTAACCTGCACCCTCATAAATGAGTAAAGGGGCAAAATTACACATTAGCTAAACCCCTAGGACTGGTTCCTACTATCTTCCAAGCTGAGTTCCATGCAGCGATTCAACTCTGTGCTGAATAATTGATAAAGAAGAAAACGGAAGGTGTATGGATTGACATATTTTTGGACAGTCAGGCAGCTTTTAAAAGACAAATCTTATATAAAAAACACTAAGCCTTCTAAGTCTTGGAGTGCCTAAATAGTCCTATCCTATAACAATAAGTCAGAATGTTAAATCGTACCTAACCTAACACAACCCTACCTGTAGCTCTAACCCTATTCGAGCACAACCCTAACCCTATTTAAAACTAACTTAACATATCCCTGACTATAACCTCAACCTAATCTAACATGCCCAACTCTATGTTAAGTTTAACATGTCCGTGTCTGTAACCCTTAACATGCCCCTAACCATAACACATATGCAATCCTCATAACATGAAATCAAGAGTGCAGAAATGGTCACACAAAAAACTTGTATATATCATTGTTAAAAAGAAAATATTTTACGATTTTTATCTACAAAATATTATAAAAACCAACATTCACTAAGAAATGAGAGAGAGAGTAGGCAGTACCTTCTTGTTTATTTGATTATCAGACTATAATGAACTTTAAAAGCATATGATTTTCATGATTCATATTTTTATATATATTCAGGCCAACTGTTCACTTAAGCAATTTCAAATAATTTTTTAATAATGTTTTTAGGTCCACTAAGTGCAATGGAATATGCTCCCTTCCAAATGGCTACACATCCAAATGTCAACAGCATTACGTGCAGAAAAGGTTGATAGCATTGGACGATAATGGTAATAGTCTTTATACGGACTTGTTTTGGCTGCCGCACTGCTGTCTTTGCCAAATAAGCCCAAGCGGGAGTTAAATTGAACCCTGTACAAACAAACGTCCAATGAGCCAGAATGGTACTTTTTTATTTCTATTACCATGCTGTATTACACAAACAATAGTTATTACACTAATTGTTTGTCGCTTGAATCTGACAATGGGGTCAGACAAATAACTTATCATTCCCTGTGATTTATTTTTCTTTTATTTTTGTACATTTTACATTTGTAGTTTTTTTAGACTATTAGACTTTGACAATAGCTCTTTTACTTATTGTTTGCTATCAATATGAAACCAGACGATGGCCTCTTATGTGACAGTCACAAAATGCGCAATGTGCCATAATTGGTTAAATCATAGGTAATATTATGACAGAATCATCCATTGTACATTACCATTCGCATATGTAAATGTAAGCACTAAATCTCGTTAAGGGCTGTGATCCATTTTCTGATTTAATTATTATACGACCAAAGGGTTACAGTCATTGTAATAATTTTTAAGATTATAATTATTATCTTATATACATATATTGCAACTAATTGTCCATAATAAACAGATGTGTTGACAAAATAAATATATGTATTTAAAAATGTTTGTTTTTCTTTAATAAAACAAATTTGATTAATGTCTCCCTTAAGTTATGTTAAAAATCATTTGTTTTCTGATTTCTAATTATTATACAAAACAAGCTTAAAGTGATAAGGGAAAAATACAATATTAACAAAATATACACTATTAATCTCTATATGTGTGGGTAATATTGCGATTATGCACATAGAGAAGTGCTCTTCGTGTTGAATTTAATAGAGCTTAGAATTACATGAGCTTTGATTTCAGCGTCTGTAGAACTAAAACGTATTGGTTCACGTTGCAAGGGGATACGCTCTAGTCCTTATGTTATCACTCAAAAACCCTGAGTTCATAATTGAAAAAATAAGTTTTACACAAAACAATCACTTTATCCCACTACATTTGCTATTGTTCATGTTTTATTTAAATAAATAGTTTAAACATTTTCATCTATTCGTTTTGTTTGTAGGTAACTTCAGTAACAACTGCCAAATGTATGTTAAATACTACTTTTTAAACGGTAATTTAACAAAAAGCCTAACCAAAAAAATTAAATTATGCTTTTATAAATTAAAAATGTTTCTAGTGTGGTGTTGAACAAAAATCACACTACATCAAGAGCTGGTTGACCAAGAATTGCACAGCTTTTATGAAAGTGCTGTCAAAAACCAAATACATTCTCCTCAATATATACTAAATTTAAAAATACTATAACCTGATATAACCTGATTACTCTTTTATGATACCAGATTTTTTTTTTTTTTTTTTTTTTTTTTTTTTGAGGTTACACAAAACAGAAAATATCACCAAATATGACAACCATTTATAGGGATGATCTCTGGTGGAATTGTATTTACTCTTTACATAATATCAAACAATGCTCCCAGGCATGAGTCAAGCTAAGAAATTAAGATTTGAAGAAATAGGTCTAATTGACGGGTACTGGGTACTGCGGAAGCAGAGTGGTTATGGATTCAGATTCTCATATAGTAGATCCCGCAGTCTTGGGTTTGATTCCCAATGTCACCTCCAGACTTTTTTCTGGTGCTTAAGGGTGATCACAATGAAAATTGACATGGCACCGATCAATGGAAGGACTGGGGCGAGATCCAATCTCAGCAAACCTGAATTTTGTCCTGACCCCTTTCAAAAATCAGTCTCTTTGAAGAAGAAGCGAGTCCCCAAAAATGGAGTCAGAAAGGAGCACAATAAGCTGTGTAGACCTGCCCTCCTCAAGGGGAACTCCTTAAGTTCCTGGAATCCACTACTAAAGAAGAAAAACCAGCGACTGCCCTGTGATCTACCACTTAAAGAAAATGCAAAACATGCCAACTTGAGTCAAGACAACATGTCACATTTGGGAATATGAGGCACTAGCCTGGATCAGCCACATTGATATGGCCAATTCCACACCAATAGTGAAGCACTGCAACAGGCACTGAGGAAAGGGAATAGTTTTATGGTAAAAAAAAACCACATTCCATGGTATGGTCTTAATCATAAGCATTCAACAAAATACCTATACAGGTCAAGGTGGAAAAAAGGTCAGAATAGGTTGGTTCTAGGCCAATCTTTAATATCACTCAAAAATAATGAGAAGAGAAGCAACTGAGAAGGCAACCATGTTTTATCATCTTATTCATACTGAATTTCATGTTTCTTCCCACCTTAGACCAAGCATATCACACTGTATCTGTCAGTAGAGCCTTAATATACAAGTCATTACTGCAGCTCAAAAGTTCAGCTTTTAATCTTATCTTACAAACATTCAATCAAATTCAGTGCACCGATGAGAAAAGTTTTTGTTCGGGATGGATTATGAGATAAGATTAAAAAAGTGGGCATCCTAATGTTTAGTTTTTTTTCCAGGTTTCAAGAAGTTCCTTTATTACCATAATGTATAACATCTATCAATCGAAAAAAAAAAAAAAAAATCATGAAGCATTTATTTTAAAAGACTATATTGCAGTTTAAGTTCAATTCTATATTAAGTACTGTAATGTTAGTAACTGAAAGCATTTTTATTTGAAAGCGTCACACAAAGAATGTGAAAATATGCCAAAGATGACAATTTAATTTAATTTTTCCCCCTCAAAGTTATGTGAAAACCCTCAGAGTGCTGCTTTGTTAAAAAAAAAGCCCATTTGTAAGTACCTCAGATTCCATGCAGGGTCACTTTTGAACCTCGGATCATTATCTTACAGTAATAGGCGCCATGTCAACGCCTCAACTGTTTTGGCCACCGACGCTCTGAATTAAATCTTAACCTCAAAATCTAAGTTTTGGATTTCATAAATTTTTTTGTGATAATGCTTGCACATTAACAATGTATAGATATATTCTTACTAAAACAAGGCCATATTCACACTTCTAGATCATAAATTAAATTGAACGCACTGATGATTTTTGAAGAATTATTTCGCAAAGGGTTCAAAAATTCTACATCAGCAAGTATTGACTTCTTGAATTTGAGTGAAAAAGCATGGTAAAGATAAGATGAAAAGTACCTGAGAGAAAAAAGTTTAACAAAGCATTTGTTTTTATAACCAGCAGCAAACCAAATGAATTAAAATATAAACGTGTTGAAAAACTGCAAAACCTATTTAAAAAAAATTGACTCTTTAGAGGTTTTAGACACTACAAGAATTAAATAACTCTCATGTCATGTTAGAGAAATAAATAAATTGTAAGTATAAAAATGCCAAAAAAAGAAAAAAAAAGGATACAGTCTAGTTAGAAAAAAACTTCTTATCTACAGATTAATTTAAAAACATGTTTTGAAATGAACTATATAAAATTAGAATGAAAGCCAAAGAAGTTGATGTAATCTTATCTTACCAGGCTTATCTATAAAGATGCCCAGCCGATCACATATTTTGAGAAAGTCGCAAACATAATCAGTAATGGAAGGGAGTAGTGTCGAAACAAAACAACCAGTAAAAAAATTTAATAGAAGTTGGAAGGAACTGGGAGAGAGCCCCTCACCCCATAAACAGGGTGAGTTTATGAGATAAAAATGTATGTTCATACATATTTATATGAAATACATTCATAGTCCTTTTAATATAGATGTAGATACAGATGTAAAAATTAATTTGGCAAACTGCGCTATTTTAAATATTTTAAAAAGATTTATTATGTACCTAAAGCACACTGGCAAATCCCAATATATCAATGAATTTGATTATTAAGCCTGTTTTTAATGAAAATTTAAAATTTCAAAAATACTTGCCATACTATTTTGTAGATGAATTTTAAAACATTTAGAATTGTTGGAAATGGCCAAACCACAAGTTCTTCACCCAGAAAAGAACAAAAAATTTAGTAAAATGGGAATAGGTTTTTTTTTATAAACCACGTTTTATAAACTTGAGGATGTGTAAAGTTGCTTTTTAAATTATTATGATTAATGATCACTAGAGCAAAATATACAAATATAAATAATTGGAGTAAATGTATCAATATTTTAGCAGGACATAAACACAACAAAATATACATCGCATATCAGTTTCCAGATTAATTTTAGAATATAAGGTAGGAGAAGAAATAACCCAGAAGATATGCTTTTGCTGAAATATGTGTAAGAGACCAGCGAGGATAGGCGGACCAAGATGATCTTTCATCAGTTCAAACTAAATGCATTTCAAACAATATCGAATGTGTGGTGATTAGTGACCGTTAGTCGATGATTAATCAGAAATCGTGAGACGCGGCCTGGTGTGATGTAGGTTTCCTTTATCGTGCCAACGTTTCGATCTTTATTGAGATCATCTTCAGTGCTCAAAGTGTTTGTTTTCTGCGTAATTGTTCCATTCTTGCGTGTCGTGTTCAGAGTCCCTTGATCTTGAGGGCACTCTCAACAATTAGCACTATTACGCAGGAAACAAACACTTTGAGCCCTGAAGATGATCTCAATAAAGATCGAAACGTTGGCACGATAAAGGAAATGTTTTTCTGAAACCTACATCACACCAGACCGTATCTCACGATTTCTGAATAACAATTTGGAATAACATTTAACATTTTTTAAATTGTATTTCTAAAAGCCGAAAACAAGAAGACGTCTCTGGCAGCGACAGGCGTTATAAAATAATAGGCAATCGCCTCTTTGAAAATAAAAACTCTCAGAACACCGTTAAAGGGGGGCGCAGATAAGTTTCCATAAATTAAGATAGGTCGGCCCAATACAAAGTAGGTTAGCCGGAGGAAGGAACGGCAGGGGAAAGGACTAGGGGAACAAAGGTGTCATCCTACATCAATCCGTCGGAGGCTGGGGACGGGAGAACAAAGGTCCCAGCGGCTGGAAGGGCCCTTCCACTCTCTCCTCTACGGCTTAGTTAATGCCCTAAAGGTGAACTCGCAGACTGCTCGTCCTCCTTTCAAGGTCACGACTTTACCTCGGGCTTTTCCAGCTTTTTTTCTAAAAGGGGAACACCGCCGAGATTGCACGTGGAACTGCAGCGTGGCTTTTAAACCAATCAATCGACGGCCCGTTAAGAATTAATTTTAAAAAAAAATTATGCAGAAATAAAATATCTCCTCCAGAGGCCAGTAAGAAATTCATCATAAGATATACCACCAAGGATAGAAGGATGCGGGGAGATGTAGATGTAATTTGATCACTTCCGATCATCCTAATCCACCTGGCATCGCTATTTAACTAACAACACAAATCCACCACTGAAGATAACAGTTGCACTTTTGACTAGCCAAATTATTGAAAAGATAAAAACGATCAAATAATATCTAGCTGCT